TCGATCGAACCATTTGGATCCGGATTGATCGACCATCAAGGTCATAGCCTAGGTAGGGTAATCCTATGCCACTGGCCTGCATAGCGTTGGGTTACGATTGTTTGGGGCAATCAAGAACCGAAACCCAATTGATGGGGAACGGTAGAATGCCCCACCCATAGAGCATTCCTAGGCCTATGACCTGGATTACGTTGGGTTACCGTCGTTTGGGGCAATCCAATGGCCCATGCCAAGGGTTGGGAGAGGTGGAGCAACTCTCCCATCTGGTATTCCTAGGCCAATGACCTGGATTACGTTGGGTTACCGTCGTTTGGGGCAATCAAGTCCCCGAAACCTAAGTGGTGGAATCTATCCGGATTGGACCCCGGATGGGTTGGATCGAACCCATTCGGATGGAACACATCTGGATCTGGATCGATCGAACCCATTCGGATCTGGATTGATCGAACCAATCCGGATCCGGATCGATCGAACCCATGTGGATCAAACCCATCCCGATCCGGAACAATTGAACTCATTCGGATGGAACCCATCCGGATCCGGATCAATCGAACCCATCCGGATCTGAGTCGATCGAACCCATTCGGATAGAACCCATCCTTATCGAAACCCATTCGGATCCAGGTCGATCGAACCCGTCCGGATCCGGATCAAATGAATCCTTTCGGGTCCAAACCCATCCGGATCCGGATCGATCGAATCCATCCGGATCTGAGTCCACCAAACCCATTCGGATCGAACCCATCCGGGTCTGGATCGATGGAACACATTTGGATCCGGATCAGTTGAACCATTCGGGTCCGGATCGATCGACCCATCCAGATCCGAGTCGATCGAACCCATTGGGATCAAACCCATCCTTATCAAACGCATCCGGATCCATATCAATCGAACCCACCCGGATCCTTGTCAATCAACCCCATTCGGATCGAACCCATCTTGATCCGAGTCAATCGAACCCATTCGGATCGAACCCATCCGGGTCCGGATCGATCCCATCCGGGTCCGGATCGATCGAACCCATTCAGATTCGGATCAATTGAACCCTTTAAGATCCAAACCCATCCGGATCCGGATCGATCGAACCCATCCGGATCCGAGTCGATCCGAAACTAACCCATCCTTATCGAACCCATCTGGATCTGAGTCGATCGAACCCATTTGGATCCGGATAAGTTGAACCATTCAGGTCGAACCCATCTGGGTCCGGATCGATCGAACCCATCCGGATCCGAGTCGATCGAACCCATTCAGATCGAACGCATCCTTATCAAACCCATCCGGATCCGGATCGATCGAACCCATTTGGATCAAACCCATCCGGATCCGGTTCGATCGAATCCATTCGGATGGAATCGATCCGGATCCGAGTCGATTGAACCAATCCGGATCCGAGTCGATCGAACCCATTCGGGTGCGGATCGATCGAAACCCATTTGGAATCGGATCGATTGAACCCATCTAGATCCAGATTGATCGAACCCGTCCGGATCTGGATCGATCGACCGGGCCCCATTCGGACCCAAATCGATAGATCAGACCCATCTGAATCCAGCCCCATCCGGATCTGATTTCGATCGACCGGGCCCCATCCGGACCCCCATCGATCGACCGGACCCATCCGGACCCCGATCAATCGACCGGACCCATCCGGATCGATCGATGGAGCCCATCCGAATCCGACCCCATCCGGATCCGAATCGATCGACCGGACCCCATCCGGACCCAAATCGATCGACCGGACCCATCCGAATCCAGCCCCATTCGGATCCGAATCGATGGACCGTGCCCCATCCGGACCCCAATCTATCGACCGGACCCATCCGGATCGGATCGATTGAACCCATCCGAATCCGACCGCATCCGGATCTGAATCGATCGATCGGACCCCATCCGGACCCGGGCCGATCGTCCGGACCCATCCAAATCCAGCCCCATCCGGATTCGGATCGATCGACCGGGCCCCATTCGGACCCGAATCGTTCGACCGGACCCATCCGAATCCAGCCCCATCCGGATCCGAATCGATCGACCGGGCCCCATCCGGACCCGAATCGATCGATCGGACCCATCCGGATCGGATCGATCAAACCCATCCGAAATCCAGCCCCATCCGGATCCGAATTGATCGACCAGACCCCATCCGGTCCCGGGCCGATCGTCCGGGACCCATCCAAATCCAGCCCCATCCGGATCCGGATGGATCGACCGGGCCCCATTCGGACCCGAATCGACCGGCTGGACCCATCCCATCCAGCCCCATCCGGACCCCAATCAATCGACTAGACACATCTTGATCGATCGATCGAACCCATCCGGACCCGGGCCAATCTTCCGAGCCCATCCAAATCCAGCCGCATCCAAATCCACCCTAGAGCCCACAAGCCCTTCCGGTGTAGTCACTTTCCAACCGGGCAAAAAGGGCTCTAGGGCGGGTGTGAGCCCTTTCGAGCACAACACCACCCTAGAGCCCACAAGCCCTTCCGGTGTAGTCGATTTCCAACCGGGCAAAAAGGGCTCTATGGCGGGTGTGAGCCCTTTCGAGGCATGGCACCACCCTAGAGCCCACAAGCCCTTCCGGTGTAGTCAATTTCCAACCGGACAAAAAGGGCTCTAGGGCGCGTGTGAGCCCTTTCAAGGCACCACACCACCCTAGACGCACAAGCCCTTCCGCTGTTGTCACTTTCCAACCGGGCAAAAAGGGCTCTAGGGCGGGTGTGAGCCCTTTCAAGGCACCACACCACCCTAGAGGCCACAAGCCCTTCCGGTGTGGTCAATTTCCAACCGGGAAAAAATGGGCTCTAGGGAGGGTGTGAGCCCTTTCGAGGCACCACACCACTCTAGAGCCCACAAGCCCTTCCGGTGTAGTCGATTTCCAACCGGGCAAAAGGGCTCTAGGGCGGTGTGAGCCCTTTCGAGGCACCACACCACCCTAGAGCCCACAAGCCCTTTTTGGTGTAGTCAATTTCCAACCGGGCAAAAAGGGCTCTAGGCGGGTGTGAGCCTTTCGAGGCACCACACCACCCTAGAGCCAACGAGCATCCGGATATGACCGGATGGATCGGATGCCTTTTCTTCCCCCAGGGCACCGCACGACCTAGTACAAGGCAAGGCGAGCACCCAAGGGGCAAGCTTATCGGGTTCGCCCGATCGAACCCATCCGGAGACCCATCCTGATGGATCGACCGAACTCATCCCAACCCATCGACTGAACCCATCCGGATCCAACCGTCGAGCCCGTCCAGTTTGATCGATCGAATCCATCGGGATCAAACCATCGAGCCCATCAAGTTCCAGCGATCCAACCCATCCGGATCGATCGAACGAGCTTATCCGGATCGGTCAACCGAGCCCATCCGGATCCATCAATGGAACCCATCCGGATTCCATCGATCGAACCCATCCGGATCGATGGACCGAGCCCATCCGGTCCATCGACCGAACCCATCCGGGTCGATCGACCGAGCCCATCCGGATCCATCGATCATGCGGATCGATCGGACAAACCCACAAGCCCTTCCGGTGGGTCCGGATCGATCGAACCCTTCCGAATCCAGCTCCATTGGGATCCGAATCGATCGAACGGACCCAATCCGGACCCGGGCCGATCGTTCGGACCCATCCGAATCCAGCCCCATCCGGATCCGGATCGATCGACCGGGCCCAATTCGGACCCAAATCGATCGACCAGACCCGTCCGAATCCAGCCCCATCCGGATCCGATTTCGATCCACCGGGCCCCATCCGGACCCCCATCGATCGACCGGACCCATCCGGATCGATCGATCCAACCCATCCGAATTTGACCCCATCCGTCTCCGAATCAATCGAGCGGACCCTATCCGGACCCGGGCCGATCGTCCGGACCCATCCGAATCCAGCCCCATCCGGTTCCGGATCGATCGACCGGGCACCATTCGGACCCAAATCGATCGACCGGACCCATCCGAATCCAGCCCCATCGGGATCCGATTTCGTTCGACTGGGCCCCATCCGGACCCCCATCGATCGACCGGACCCCATCCGGACCCCAATCGATTGACCGGACCCATCCGGCCCCGGGTCGATCGACCGGACCCATCCGGATCGATCGATCGAACCCATCCGAATCCAGCCCCATCTGGATCCGAATCGATCGACCGGGCCCTATCCGGACCCGGGAGACCCTCTAACTCCCAACCCTAGAAGCCAAAACCCCCCAAACTTTTTTAAAAGCCTCCCCCCTTATCCTTGATTCCTTAATTCCTTATTCCGTCAGTCATCATCCGTATGCACGATAGGGGGTCCCAAAAGAGAGGCGCCCCTTCTATATCGATCCTATCCTCGCGGGCGGCCGAGCAAAGGGGGTTTAGGGTTTTTTTTTTGGGCTTTAAGAAGATCCCAGGAGGAAACTAGGCCCCCTTTCCCATGCCGATCCACCTGCGAGCCCCTGGGGGGAACCCCCTAGCGCCCGAGACTTCACCCGTGTTGCGGACGGTAGGCGGTCTGGGCTGGCAGTACCCAGCATGTGCAGTGCTCCGCAAAAACCCCGCACCGATCACCGTTGAAGCGCGTGCCCCATTTTGGGGACAGCCGTCCCAAACGGGCATTGGCATCAGAGGGAGAGGTAACACGTAACCCCCACAGTCGGCACTGATGCCGAGGCATGTACCATTGGAGGTAACGCGCCGCCAGGACGAATCCCGGTGTCGGTCCTCCATAGGCAGTCCGCCTCGACCTCCGTAGCGTCAAGGGGGGTGGAATGGAAACTCTGCCCTTCTTATACGGCAGCCCGCCCCATCGGAGGAGGGAGGGGTCCGGGGACCCAACCCTCCCGATGGGCCAACCGACCAACCCAACCAGCCGGCGCCCTCGCCCTCGGGCGCCCTTGCCCTTCTCGAATGCCAACTGCCCGCCGCCCTTCCTCACGGGCGTGCGGGGGCCCCCCCCTCCCTAAGCCCCAGGCGTTTAGGGTGGGAGGAAGGGGGGTCAAGAACAAGGGCTGAATCTCAGCGGATCGTAGCAGCAAGGCTACTCTGCCGCGTACAATACCCCGTTTGGTTTAAGTCGTCTGCAAATGATTAGTTTCCCTGAAATGGTTGCCGCTCTTGTTCCACGAGCGTCTCGGCATATGCTCTTGGGGGCGCACGAAGCGTCCCCTATTCTTAGCTAGGGTGAGCCCAGAGAATGTAATAACGCTTTCAGCTTGGATTCTGACTTAGAGGCGTTCAGTCATAATCCGGCGCATGGTAGGTTCGCGCCGCAGGCCGACCGGCCTGACGCAATTGCCAATTATGCGAATCAACGGTTCCTCTTGTACTAAGTTGAATTGCTGTCGCGGAACCGGTGCATCAGTAGGGTAAAAATAACCTGTCTTACGACGGTCTAAACCCAGCTCACGTTCCCTATTGGTGGGTGATCAATCCAACACTTGGTGAATTCTGCTTCACAATGATAGGAAGAGCCGACATCGAAGGATCAAAAAGCAACGTCGCTATTAACGCTTGGCTTCCGCAAGCCAGTTATCCCTGTGGTAACTTTTCTGACACCTCTACCTTCAAGCTCCGAAGAGCTAAAGGATCGATAGGCCCCGCTTTCACGGCTTGTATTTGTACTGAAAGTCAAAGTCGAGCGAGCTTTTGCCCCTTTGCTCCACACGAGATTTCTGTTCTCGTTGAGCTCGCCTTAGGACACCCGTGTTATCGTTTAACGGATGTGCCGCCCCGGCAGGTTGCCTTGCACCGATTCAACCACCTCCGCATAAAGCTGGGTAGGTAAGATTCGGGCCCCAGTGGCCGTTTGGCTCAGTTCGGTATGCCCCTCTTACGTATCGGGCTCAGA